GCTCAGTCAAGCTGATTTGCTCACCGAGGAGCTTGATATGTGCGCAGAGCTGTACAACGTCCATGTTCTCGTTCTTCAGCGCCTCGAGACAAGCAATCTCCGAAATCAGATACATGATGCGGTCTTCACAGCCCATGAGTTCGGCGAGACCAGAAGATGCGTCAGCGATAAGCTTCTCACGGTAAGTGTCAGCGAAAGAAGGAGTCCTACCCAGCATGGTAGCGCCGAGAATGTCGATCCAAGAAGCCAGTGTCATGTTGAATGGAGGCTGAGCATGTGCTTGTCCGTTCATCGCAATCATCTGCGCAGGAAGCTCGAGCCTGTGGACGAGGTTCTGGACTGCTTCAAAATGACCATGCCATGGGATATCCATCAGGCCGTCGTTGAAGCGGCCAACTGAACATTGGAAAAAGATCATGCCAAGCGCGGCCTCAAGAGTCTGACCATGCTGGCTGTCGCTGTAGAGCGCCGCGGTAAGCTGCTGGACTGTTTCACCGCGATGCCGTTGGATGTCCTGGTCAATCTGCTCTCCCACAAGTCCCTGAGTAGTCTTCATGTGTAGCGCGGATATACTCATGCAGCAGTGCAGGTATGCTTTGTTGGATTCTAGTGCGGGTATGATGACATCACGCTGCGCTGCGCCTGGCTGATTGGTCTCGAGAACTGGGAAAGCTGTGGGCATGATGTTCTCGAGAAAATGGCTAAGAAGATGTCGATCGCAGTCTTCGACTTGAATTGACGGTTGGTGAGATGGGCTGAAATTACCGTAGGTGGTGTAATCAAAGATGGGGAATTCGAGGGGCTCCTCGATGTAGGACTCGCGGCGCTCGAAGTAGTCTTTCTGTATCCAGTCATCAGTTGGGTAGATGTTACCGGCAGCTGGTGGGGTTTGGTAGTGACTGTAGGATGATAATGTGGAATCGCGACGGGTTGGAATGTCGTTGATGAACATTTGGCTTTCCGTCTTGATGTCAATGTCGTAGGGCACATAATGTCCGGGGTGGGCAAAAGCGGGAGCAAACATTGGCGGAGGCATTGTCGAGTTGTAAAAGTCGGGTGTAACAGTAGGGTTGAAGTTGTAGTCCAGCGAGTTTTGTGAGTCGACAGAGGGCGCCCGGGTGCAGCTGACGCCGTCTGAGAACGTGTCGGCAGTTTGCATTGAATGGCATAGGCTTGGTGGTGTGTTGGTGCCCATCGCGCCGCTCTGTGCTGTCTTCTCATTGAGCTTGGTACGCTTGATGATGTTTTTGATGACTTCTTTTTGTGTTCGTCTTTGTTCATTGTTACTCCACCACATTGGCCTCTTGTATTCGCACTTGAGACCAAGGTGTTTGCATGCGCGGCAAGAGGGTTTTCCTTCATCACACTTCTTCCGTCGCAGGCGACATGTGAAGCACCCTGCAGAGCTCCCGTTAGTCGATTGTCCATGCGCGGGATCCCTGCATCCACATAGAAAGGGTGGTCCTTACCTGATCGTGAACGACGGTGCATTTTTGCGGCAGCTTGTTGTTTTGCTGCGTTAGCAGCATTTGTGGTCCCTACCATGGTTGAGGACTGTTTGGTAGCGGATGGGGGAGCGGACGAGGAGGACATGGACGCTTGATGTACCCAGAGCTGTGGTATATGAGGAAAGCCAGTAAACAATGCGGCAATAACGACTAACGCGCGACGGGACGATTCGTAAGGGACAGGATGGCAGGGCTCGACCGGGCTGCTCGTAATTAAAGATGGGTATTCAAAGCCTGACCAGCGGGCTTGATGTGAAGGAAGGAGCGGAACCAAATTATGCGGTCTACCTGTTGCGTGGAGATGTATTAATGAGAGACAAGTACCTTATATCTACCACGAACGGCAGATTGTTCACAAATATTGCTGAATCTATTCTTGGAGTCCCTGCTATCTGACCAGGTGGTCGTCCAACGGGAGGGAGATGCGAACGCCATGCAGCATGGCGACACAGCATATTGATTGGACGGCTAGTTTCTGGCGTGCAGCCTGATGTCGACATTTGGGGTCATTCTGTGCTCCTTGCTATTTTGGGGCACTCTTACCCGCCGCGCTAGAGCCAACAGCAGTGCTTAGCGCGTATATCTCCACGGCTATCGATCGGCTTACTGGTCCCCGCAACGACTTTAGCAAGTTAAATGACCCATTTAGTACTGGAAGCATATTACCATGTCGACTTGAGAGTTTTCGCTGACTGGGGCCGTGGGCCTTGATCCCCCTCTTGACCCAACCTCCTTGCGGGGCACTATCGAGTTGTGTCCAAGAGTGGCCTAGGAAGTACATGCAGCGGCTGCGATAAGTGGCCGGCCCGGACGTTACTGGTGGCCTTGTGCAGATGTGCAGATCCGGACTGCAGTGTGCCAAGTCCGTACGTAGATGATAGCATAACATCTGCAAGCCTCATGTACGTAGTGTATCGGTACCTGCCCTCGTGTCGACACCAAGAAATGTACAGTGACTCGTAGTACCAAGAGATGGGGCAGTTGCTCAAAATCTATTCGCTTGTGCCACGTTGAGCCAGAACGTTCGGGCATTGAGGACGGAATCACGTAAACTCGAGGCGGCCCAATTCGCGTCCACGCTGTCGTGATCATTTCCACAGCGGGACTTGACCAGCTCGTAGCTAGGCGAACGAAAACGTAGGCCGCATTGTCGACCAAACACGGCAGGTCGGTTGATGGTGTTTTCCCGAGCTATGCGGGAGGAGGTAAGTCGAGTGGGTGAGCCCTCGAGTAATGCGGCGAGTTGGCATAGCACGACAGGTTGTGGCATCCAGTCATCGTGCGCTCCCACGCAAAGCAAGTCGCTTGTGCATGTCGATGGGGTTGGAATTTGCAGGACAAGCTTTTGCTAGCAGAATTGTGTATCCAATAGCAGTTCCCATCGTCCTAGCTTACACTGCGGGGCAGGCAACCGGCTAGGAGAGCTCGGTGGGAGACAGGGAAGGGCCGGTGCTAAACATAGGCCCTTAATTATTCTTTCATCGTCCAGCAAATGCCCATAATTAGTGAGCCTACATCATGCCTGCAAGACAGGTGAAGCGAGACCCTTTCGGGATGTGATACCGCTTGCTAACCGTGCGATTGGTTACCGACAATTACAATCAATACTTGGTAGTCCACGAATTACCCTCGAGTGACTAGGTACCTCCTCGGACGGTTGGGCATACGCAGGATTGCTCACCTGACAATGCGGATTCATGCTCATGGCCATGTTTCCCGCTACAACCCGCTATTCTTCCCCGGTATTTGGGAAATGATGGTGCCTTCTATGCATCCTGTTGGATTCTTAAGGTGATGGATGAAGCGAGATAGATTGAGATGGAGGGTCCGGCCAATGAAGACGACTCAACAGCCTCTTCGCTCAGTTCCTCGGCACCACTTAGGATAGTAGTAAATGAGAAACTAGACAGGTGTTGAAGGCCATAAACAGAACTTTCAAAGCCAGAAGCTCACCAGAGCAGTGTGACTCTTCGTAATGCATGTAAATGTGGATCGTTAGCCGTCCCGCTGGATTTTCACGAACTATGCAGCGTATAGCATAAGAGACGGAAATTCTGTTCTGCATGGCGCGGTTCGTTGAAGTTGCTCGGAACCATGCTCGCACAACTTGCGGTCTGGTAGTCCGGTCGTTGGAAGCCGTCTTCGCAAGCTGATTCGCCCTCCACAACCACGCTTCAGCGAGACCATTGTGGTAGCGGAATATAAGAGACAAAATATGCGGCAGGTCGCAGGACTATTCAGTCACGGGCTCGTGGTGTGGAAGCTTTCTGGGCGACCGTTGGTCGACATGTTGATGAGGATCCCATGGCAAGCCGTCACGAGAACGAGCCGTCGGTGGGCTAGGTGATAGTATGCAACGGTCGGAGCAGCGGCCTGCCATGGCATCACAACGGTAGCAGGTAGCCGGTGGGACGCTTGTGAGATGAGTCAAGATTGTGACCGCTATCGGGTTTTGTGCCAGCCTGCCAGGTCGCACGACAAAGCAAAAGACATCGAGGTAAGTCCGGCAAGCAGGAAAGGTGCTCGGATCCGCGATTGCAGCGATGACGACAAGGTCCGGCGTGCTCGAGTCGTCGGTGGCTTGTACAGCTGCACGCAGCCGTCAAGCACGGAACGCATCCGCATGTGATATGTTTGTGCCAATATCGCTTACTGCATATCACTGACGAGGCTGCCGGCTAGCGACCTCAACCAGCCACAGCCCTGGAACGCTCCGAACCGAAGCTTCACCGACACAGCGCAGCAAGATCAACAAGTCATTAAAGGTCATTTGCAATGTCACTTGACCGTGGCCACAGTGGCGGTGGTGATGCGACTGGATGAAACTACTTCCGAGGTACGTACTTTGGGGCTGCGCAGGAACAACGAAGCGACCAACAGCAAGCGTGCACGGCATGGCCAACTCAGATCTTCGTCGCATCTGCCCTCGACAAGCGGCGACACGATCCGCTGCCGTCGACCCTGATCCTGAGTGGATCCCCGGCGACCCTGGCATTTTCATGCGTCTAGCCCGCGACGTGGGATATTAATGGCATTTAAGTGTCCTCATCGAGCAGAATTAGCCTGCGAGCCAATCTGCGCTGCAGCGAATGGGGGCCGTCTCTCGCCCTCTCAACGCTCGAGTCTAAGCGCCAGCCTAAACCTCGACCAGCATGCGGGCGGGAAAGGCCCGGATTCACATTGGCCGAAGAGCGGTGTCTCTCATCGAGTCGAATGCCTCAGTGGCCGGCTTAAGCAGGCATGCGCTGTCTCGTGCAGCAGCTCCAGTGTGATATTGTCGAACCACACACCCCACCGTCAACGGCGCCCAAGCAACCTCTACAAAAGACTTTCAAGCGCTCTCCACCCGAAGGGTCCCTTTCTCCGTTTTCGATCGTTGTGCTGTTACCGTGTGTGTGCCATGCTCGCGACATTCGCTCGGAATAGTTGTTAGCAGTCTCCCGAACAACCATATTCCCTACTACAGAGCGTGTACGCTGCAAACCCGTGATCATGGTAAGCTATGTTCTCTTCTCTCTCGATGCGCGATTCTAACGTCTCTATCAGCAGGCCATGACACCCATCACCCCGCTGGAGCCGGGCGTGGAGATGTTCGAACGAGGAAAGGCGCAGTCGTTCTTTCCAGTGCTCTAACGGTCCGGTCATCGCTAGAGCGTCCGCTTTCTCATATCAGTGTCGCATATACAGATATCGAAGATGATTCTAGCGAATTTGAGGAATTCAGCGGCTCTTCTGTATGTATTCTTTGGCCTAACAGCATATGCGACACTGACCCTTCCAAAGAGCGACAACAGGCGAAGTCAAACAACCATATCAACCTTCGAGGAAGTACAGACCCCTGGGGAAGAAGTACGACCACAATTCACCTACTGGCAGGAGCGAAAGTCAGTAGAAGGTCCCAAAGGGCCACACCTCTTCCGTGCTTCAGTATCATCCGGCGACTTTCTTTACGACGAAGGCCAAGTAATGCAAATGTCGCCTTTACTGCCAAAAGAAACTCCACTCCGTCATCCGACCTCATTCCGAGAAGCCACTCCAGAAACGATCGTTCCTCAAAGAGAGTACAACAACATCGCTCTAGCCGTTGCCCACTTGGACAATGCCGAAGTGCGCGCCTGACTTCCAAAGACGTTGCTACCTGGATGTATCAGAACGGATTTGAAGACGACGTAATCGACAAGTTTATTCAGCACGATATCTCGGGTGCCGTTTTGCTAGATCTACAGTTCGATGATTTGAAAGAATTGGAAATTCAGTCCTTCGGCAAGAGGCATCAATTGTGGAACCAGATCGACTCCCTGCGCACCGCGGACGGCCTGATGTCGCCAACTGCTCCAGCAGCTATCCCGACTCCATTCGAGGACATCGAACGGCCATGTACAGAGGCAAGGAACAGGTCTAAGAGCAAGGGCCGAAAAGCCAGTAAACGCGACAAGTCGCGAGGGCGTCACTTGACAGACGATGTCATTACTCCTGCGCATTCGGTCTCGATCGTAGCCATCGAACAACTGCTACCCAAGCCACACGTATGCGCAAAGGGCGAACGATGCGCCAAATGGAGGAAGCAACAACGGCAGCTTGCCAGACTTCAAATGGAACACGGCTTTCCGATTTCGCCCGAGAAGGGTGGTCATATCTTCATCGCTGGTGACCCAGGCAACCCCCAGACAGCATCTCATGTTGTCGAGAATGTTCACCGGCCGAACTCAGAAGCTACTCCCTCCGTCGTGGTACCATCCGTGGTAGCATCATCCGACGTGCTGGGGCCTGGCCAGCTACCCGACTTTACTCTCCAGGACCTACAAAAGTTTGAGCAACGCGACCCGCAAGACAACGTGCGACAGTTCCTTACCCTACAGGGTCAGCAGCAGCCCTTTGTCAGCGCTACTCCAATCGAAGCTCCCCCAACACCGCCTACAGAATCATACCCACCTCGCCCTTTCTTGGTGATACCACAGCAACCGCACTACCCGCAGGTTTCAGCCTTTTCCGCATCTACGTCAGCGCATACCACCAAGTCTTTCGATCCTTTCAGTCAGACACCCTCAACTCCAGCTCTGCATCCCCCGGAGTTTATGCCAGCTCCCCACTCGAACCTCAAGAGTCTCCCCAAATTGACAATTCCGCCAGCACGTTCAATGTCCGCCCAGCCTGCTGGTAACTCACACAGTGCAATCCCAGCACACCAGTACCTCGCACCCGATACCGCCTTCTCGCCATGTAGGACAGCGTCACCAGGTGGCGTCTACCGGTTTGGTACGCCGTTCTCCGAGATGGACGTCCCTGTGACTGCTGTGCAACAAGAACCACTTAGCCGCGACACGAGCCAGTCTGTGCCTCCGAACATGCAATACCAACCCCAAATCCAAAGGGTTGGATCGCGCCATGACTGGCGACGTCCCTCGTTGCCCATGCCAGCGCTTGCTGAAGACCGCGTGTTCAGCCCAACGGCCCACTCGGACGACGACACCCTACGTGAGACCATTTTCGACGACTCCGTCAGTACTAGTGACAGCGCTAGCTCGTCGCCGCTCAAAGCTACCAAGCCATTCGACAGCGAAGCTGGTGACACTATTGCGCCTTTGCCCAAGGGAGGCTTCGTGTACAAGGGTGTGAACCACCACGGCTGGATGAAGAAGCGACGTACCAAGCTCCTGCGTCACGAATGGCAAGACCACCATTTCCGCCTCCAGGGCACAATGCTAGCTATGCATCCCAATGAGCTACCCTCCTCCTCCGCCCTGCAGACAATCGACGTGGACGATTATGCCGTAGCATGCTCATCGCTCGCTTCCAACAAGCTCTCTGCCAAGTTCAAGGCCCTGAAACTCTCTTCAGGTCACCACAAGGAGAAGTCTTCCGCTTCCACCCCCGCTTTCGAGTTTCAGCTTGTGCCTGCCGCACCTGGTAAGGGCGATGTCAAGAAGGTCATGCCGAATGGCAAGGTGCAACACTTTGCTGTAACCACCAAAGACCAGAGGATCGACTGGATGCGCGAGCTCATGTTGGCCAAAGCCTTGAAGGCTAAGAGCGACGGCTACGAAGTCAACGTCAACGGTGCCAACATGTGATCGCTACACCAGCGTGCCCATCATCTTTTTTTCCTTGACCAGTAATTTTTCTTCTGTTTTTCTTGTCTAGCAAGCGAGCGTGTGTTTCTGTCCTTTTTGGTTTGTGCAATCTCCTCTTCCTCAGTCCGATCATGACCCGCTATTATACCCTTTCCGTTGTTGCTATCTTATTTCGCACCGCATGTTACTGTTCTTCATGCCTACTCTCAATCCTTGAAGGCAGCATATATTTACTTTTGCTACTACATACATCTAAAGACTTGAACGCTGAGCGGGACCGCAAGGTCATGGAACACTACTGGTTATTTTGGCTTGAACATGGTAATGTTTTGGGTTTGTATTGGTTATGTGCTCGAGCGTCGAGGTCTTGGAACAATCACTCATTGACTAGGGTGGTATTTTGTTTTTAATCAAAAGCTGTCGTTACGTTGAGATGGAGTGAGATGGATTCAGGAGTGGGACGGAAAGGTGGAGGAAAACATAGGTACTATCCATGAATACGATGAACGTCATAGAACAACGTCCTTCTCTGTCCACGATCCTGATGTGTCCACGTATAGCTACCAGCTCATCACCGCTCTCTGGAATATTCGTGCTCGTCACTCTGTTCGAAACACTCGGTCTCCGACATTGCTCTCGGGGGCCGGCCGGCGGTGTGCGTTGTACACTCCCGGCCGACGCAGCCCCATCACGAAACAACATCGCCCCTAAACACGTCAACCACAAATGTTAACAACATACCCACAAAAGACCATTAATTATTCTCTATTATCGTAGTTTCTTAACCCAAATCATTTTGCTACTAAAACACATCTTAACACCCAAAACACACATCTCGCTTCGTCCGTTCGCATCATTTCCCGCATGAACAGCTATCACCTGCATTTGAAACGACACCTGATATGTAATATGCTAAGCGAGACCCGCGATAATGGAATCCAAGGGTATTCGCTCAGAAGGTGTCCTGTTGAATGCCTTCGATGGCTAGTTTACCGGAGGAATGGTTGGGCAGGAGAAAATGACAAATGTTTAACATTACGATATTCCTTGAGTGACAAATTGCTGTCGAAGGCATGGCAGACTGCTGGTATAGCGACCTGGAGGTATACTAATTTTGGGGCTCCTAGGATCTGTTCGTGTGACTTTCTGTGGTACCATTAAAAATTACTACTAAGCAATACCTAAGTAAGCTATACATCAACTTGTCGAAAGCCGTATGAAGCTATTGAAGACCACAACTGGAGTCATAGACTCATTTAAGCTGTTCTTCGGCATCTGCTTCTCATCCGAGATTACATCGCTTTCTAATCGTCTGTCAGCAAATTAGACGTCTAATTCGTGTCGCACAGTCTCCCATTCGTATCCTGATCTAGAGGTTTGATAGCACAAACCCGGTCTTATCCACTATCATCACACAAGTCCGTGGCCGCGGTCCAGTATCCTGATCTTGGATCCTCTCTCTCGGGGCGTTAACGTGAACACCAATATGTGAATGACATCGGCTACCTGCATGATAACACTTTTTCGAATAGGCGATGCGATGCTTGTTACAAGGCAAGGTCGCACTGACAGCTGTCAAAATCGCTCGTGCGTCGTGACATGAGTGCAAAGTGATGGACCATGGATATGGGTCAATGTCGTGATGATGATAGCGTTTACTGGCTATATCTGAGATGAGCACATGTGATGGGTAAATGAAGATGAGATCGTAAGGGCACAGGAGCCGGAACTGAACGCCGCAGCCATTTCATTGAGGGTAACATTCGAGATTGGACTGGAAAGTGCCAGTGTATGAGTTCATGACAAGTACGCTAGGTGCGATGAAGTGCATACGAAATACAATTTATGATAGCGGTAGCGGAAGGATTACGACAGCAAAATATGATATGGCCCAAGTAGAAACAGGATTAAATTGATAAAACTAACGAGACGTTCGAGCAAGGTTATGATGTCTGATCAATTACATGCATTAAGAATAAGAAAATAGACCAGCTGTCCTCCCACCGTGGGTACACATCCTTCAATACAGTGAATGTAGTCCACAAGATGAGAAACCGGTCACGCTCTGTCTGTATCCCAATACTGGGGCATTCCTGTATTAGAAACAACATTATGTAGAGCTTTTGAGATAAAATTGTACAAGGCTCGTCGCGTAATAGTTGATGACCAAATCGCAAGTGTAAGAAATGGCGTATATATGGCTTGCGATTAATCGACTGTGCGTCAAGTGTTCCGAATTGAAATAATGATAGATGAGATAGAACCGGTCGTCGTCGTAGTCCGGTATAGATGTCGAAGGGGACATTGATGCTGGAGAGGTTTACTCCTCGGTCGCGTCAGCGTCACGCTTGCCGATAGGTAGACCAAAAGGGCGTTTCGCGTGTTTCCACCCAGCTTCGGCGTCGGCTTCACGCTTGCCGATAGGTAGACCAAAAGGGCGTTTCGGGAGTTTCCACCCAGCTTCAGCGTCGGCCGCACGCTTGCCGATAGGTAAACCGTAAGGGCGTCCAGGGAGGTTCCATCCAGCCTCAGCCTCAGCCTCAGCCTCACGCTTGTCGATAGCGGCGGGAGCAGCTGCGGCAGCAGGTACTGGCAGGGCGGCACCGGAGACGGTGACAGCTAGGATGACGGAGGCGATGACGGCGTTGATTCTCATGATGTCGAATTAAACGGTTTTGGATAGTAATGAATAGTGTAGGTCGGGGGCGGATCGACTATTGACCAAGTAACTGATAGCGGTCGTTGAAGTTGTAGTCGGTGACGAGAGATATTGGGGCTGTGGAAGAGCTGTACTTAACCATGAAAGAGACAAGGACACATGAAGGTATCTATTGGAGGCGTTATGCTTCTCTAATGATTGTTAAGCGCATGAATAGACCACTTTGTTGCTCAATAGACTTGTGAAGTGAAGGAATAGCGGGTTATCATCCAATAGCGGAGTGCCTATCCAGATGAATGCGAGGCCTTCGAAGGGATCACTCTGCTTAGAAGTTAGTCAAGCCAAATACCAAGGTCTTTCGGCGCAAACGAGCTCTTCCAGACCATCAAAGGCTCCGTAGTTTACGGATATCTTGCTTCCAGGAGATTTGTAGCTTCCGGTACCGGACGGCGAAAGGCCTGGAATACAAAGCACATGCATTTCCCTTAGAAATTCGACAAGGGATTGCTATACTGCTGAAAGAGGGCGTCAGAGTGGAGAGCTGGTGTTGAGATTACCCCATCTGGGTCTGAATAGCTTCAATAGAAAACAGAGGCTTGGCGAAAATTGCGTTTGTTTAACCTCAGCATAATGATGCGCCACCTATTTACAGCGAACAGATCATTCGACTGAGTAACAACGCTCACGAGGAAAGCTAGCAGAGGACTCAAGACTGAGGCATCGGCAAACATTGCAGCGGCTCGCATGTAGGCGAGCCACCTATGGAGATATGAGCGAGCAGAGGATACCGGATCTAGGTTCTCGGCTCACAAATTGTGTTTGTTAGGCTGTGAACCTGACATGCATGTAGGATGAGGTCTCTTTTGCGGAAATTGTCAGCATCGCGTCACCTACACCGTAAATGTTAGCGTGGTATGGACTTAACGAAAGCTATTCGACGTGGTTGACCATTGGTCGCAACGTCTGTGCGGGGGTATCGGAGCAGCAGAATATAGTAAGATTTTGCCTAGCCAACTGGCTGATTAAGCTAGCGCCACACGTGGCTTCGCGCCAAAAGTTGCCGCGGGGAATTGCGCGAATCCATGTGAGACGCCCATGAAAGTATGCATGCTAGGATAGCCAATTCAACGGCGCCTGCACTCAGAAGAGTGCTTTCGAGCTTCTCGAGACGATCACCATGGATTTGCTCGTCTTGCCATAATCGTAGCGGTCGCGGTCGACGACAGATTACCACCCAGACCTCCGAGAAGCCCTACTACATCACCACACCAATATTCTATGTCAATGCTGCCCCTCATGTCGGCCACCTGTATACCATGGTCCTCACGGACGTCATCAAGCGGTGGCACGTGCTCAAAGGACAGACAGCACTGCTCTGTACTGGGACAGATGAACATGGCCTGAAGGTAGTTTTACCTAACAAGTGTGAGAGTGTTGCACTAAGACTATAACAGGTCCAACGAGCAGCCGCCAAAGCTGGCATTGACCCGAAACTGTTTTGCGACAAAGGCGCCGAGATCTTCCGAGTACGCAAATACGCATAACGAACCTGTACTGTTGTTACTTACCTGCACAAGGAACTTGCACGAAAAGCCGAGATCACGAATGATCATTTCGTACGGACGACGGATAGAGAGCATAAGGAAGCTGTCGAGTATGCATGGGTACGAGACCTCGAGATACTTCGTAGAATGCCACGGTAGCTGATGGCGGACAGTTCCTGTTGCAAGAGAAGGGCCTCATATACGAGCAGAAGCATGAGGGGTGGTACTCAATCACCGACGAATGCTTCTACCCACAGTCAGCTGTACAACCGTACCTCGACCCACCGACAGGAAAGAAGATGATGGTATGGCCTGGCTAGTGAACTGTAGTAGTCTGAACTGACCATCCTGCAGACATCGATCGAAACGGGCAGTGAAGTGGAATGGTCTTCGGAGACAAACTATCATTTCCGGCTCTCGGCATTCCAGGACAAATTGTTGGAGTTTTACAAGAACAATCCCGAGTGGATAGCACCAGAACATCGCATGAAGGAGGTTGTGCAGGCCGTTGAATCAGGATTGGAGGACTTGTCCATATCTCGACCATACGAACGACTCACATGGGGCATTCGAGTCCCCGGAGACGACTCGCAAACTATTTACGTATGGCTCGACGCGCTCATGAACTACGCAACCAAGGCAGGATACCCATGGACACCGGGCCGCGAACAAGCAGGCGGTTGGCCTGCCGACTGTCATGTCATCGGCAAAGATATTGTTCGATTCCACTGCATCTACTGGCCGGCTTTTCTCATGGCCCTTGGACTTCCTCTTCCAAAGAAGATTCTGACACACGCTCACTGGACTCTTGGAGGGTCCAAGATGTCCAAATCAACTGGCAGAGTTGTCGATCCGTTCCACGCCATTGATCGATTTGGACCGGATGTTATGCGCTTCTATATGGCTCGTGAAGGTGGTATACAGGACGATGCGAGCTACGATAACTTTCGCATTATTGGGTTGTACAACAAGTTCTTGAACCAGCAACTTGGCAACCTAGCTTCTCGTGTTACACGAGGCAAGAAATGGAGCGTCCGAGGCGCAGTCGAACGCATTGGTGGAAGTCCAACAGAGGAATGGGAAGAAGGACCAGGTTCTAAATTCCGGAATAACTCTCTCGCCACTATCGCCTCGCAAGTAGACGCATCCTTTGATGCCTATGATCCGCGTAAAGCTGCCTCTCAAATTGCTGATTTTGTCCGAGGAGTAAGTTTGTGACTTTTTACGTATTGCTACTCTACTGACCAAACCAAGTCAAACGCATTCTTTCAGATGTCACAACCCTGGGACAAGATATTGAGCTTCGGTCCGGGCGAGCCTGGCGAGGATGTCGACAAGATTATCTATCTTGCCGCTGAAGCACTTCGCATTACCGGCATTTTACTACAGCCGTACATGCCGAATAAGGCACGTATGCTACTAGACCAGTTGGGCGTACAGCACGATCGAAGAAGCTTCGAGTACTGCAAGCCTGGCGCTGATCTAGACTACGGAACTCCATTGGTGGAGCTGGGTGTAGCGCACAAGGGCGTGTTATTCCCACCATTGTCGAGTGACGAGTAGGACATGTATATTGATGTAGTATATGTAAAATTAAGTCACAAAGAATCAGTGCGACTACCCTAGAGGTGAGCCTGTATACATTTATTTATTTTCGCCTATTAGAAGTAATGAAACTATCGAGGCCAAGTTTACTTTGACATATTAGACGCTCGCACCTGATTACCAAAGGCTATTGCAATTATCTTCCCCATGAAGTATAGCCCCAAGCAGGAAAATTCTAAGTAGCAGTTTAAGACAAATACGATAAATCTTCTTTGAGGTGAAGTTGCTAATCACATGTTGCTGGGGCCCAATGCCAAGACGACATCATCGCGCGAACTTTAGATTTCCGAATGAACATTTCCCACGACAACGCAATCATAAACCCCCCTCTACCTTCTACGCCGTCGATCTCCGCTTTCCGCATCAAACCCGTCGAGATTCTATAAGCCTTCCTACAACGACTGCAAAAAACACGATAAAGCATCGCACACGCGCTTCCACACAAGATCAGCTCACCATGGCCGCCCCCAAACCGGGCGGCTTCAAGATGTCGCTAGGGGCACTGAAGACAAACCCAGGGCTGAAATCGTCTCCCGCGCAGAGAGATACTAAAAAGACTAAGCTTCTGCTCGGCGACGACGAACCGGACGATTCGAACACGCAACAAGAGATTACAGGATGGGACGCAGCAGAGGGCGGCGCGCTCGATGCCAACGGGAAGAAGGAGAAGGAGGCACCGCGCATCATTCAAGCTCTGCCAAACCGCGATTGGCGCGCAGAGGCCCGACGGAAACAACTTGCGAAAGCGCCCCATCAACAAGCGCAGAATGTAACCGTCGACAAGAGCAAGATGGAAGAGCCAAAAGTGCAATATGGACTTACCATTATCAAGAAGGACGAGGCGCAGGAAAACGGAGCTGCAGAAACTGAAGTGCCAGAACCAATGGAGGTGGAGCAGGACAATCTTACGGAGGAGCAGCGACTTGAGAAGAAAGCTCTCGATGCGCTAGTCAGCGGCAAATCCACCGACAACGACCTCGTCATTCCCGTACAGACGGAAGAAGAAACGTTCCTAAATGATATCCACAATGCGCCCGACGCTCCCACCCTCGAAGCCTACGAAGCTACACCAATTGAAGGATTTGGCGCGGCTTTGCTTCGCGGCATGGGCTGGAAAGACGAGGAAGCAATTGGTAAGAACGGCGTTGCTGCGAAACCAAAAGAAACCAAACGGCGACCGGCGCTACTTGGCATAGGTGCAAAGGATGATGCTGCTATAGGCGTAGAGCTTGGAGAATGGGGTGGTGGAAAAGGCAAAGGGAAGAAAGTCGCGCAGAGCTACAACCCCGTTACGCTGCGGAATAAGAATACTGGCGAGATTATCACAGAAGAGGAGTTGAAGGCGAAACTTGAAAGCCAGAGCATGATCCCGGATGAGAAGCCGTCGAGAAGCAAGAGCAAATACGACGACGATAGCGAGGAAGATGAGCGAAGGCGTGAAAAGCGGAGAGAGAAGCGAGATGACCGCGACCGCGACCGCCGACGTGACGATGACTATGATAGCGAACGGAGGAAGGACAAGGACCGTCGAAGAGACAAGGATGACTACTACGACAGCGATCGCCGCCGAGACAAACGAAGAGATCGAGCTCGAGACGACGAATACGAAAGCGAGCGCAGGCGCGAGAAGCGAAGAGAACGTAGTCGTAGCCCCGACGACCGAAAGGATAAACGCCGTGATCGGTACCGCAGCAGAAGTCGGGACTCGAAGCGGAAAAGCGACCGGAAAGACCGTAGTCGGAGTCGCGATTCTGACGATCGCAGGAAACGGAGGAGAGATAGGGAGTATGAGGATGATGGGAGGTATGAGAAGAAGAGGCATAGGGATGATAAGTACTACAAGTAATTCTTACTAGGCTTGACCACAGCATTAGAGGGAGTATGGGCATGCATGTATCTGGCGTTCTTGACTGGAGCCACACTGGCATAGCATAGGCATGAATGAGCAATTGTATCATGGAAAACATACAATTCGAGATTTCACATCATGATAATTTATCAATTGACTTCTCTGGAAGTGATTTCAGATGAAGACCTGACGTATGCAGCATAATCGTACAGACCGACAGCTCTTGGGAACATATCTCACTCCAGGCAGATCGATAGCAAAGTGAAAACAGAAAAGTGATATTATCTCGTTCCATTATATGCCATATTATGTATCGTCTACTAATACATTCGTCCTTCATCAGGACGCTACTCATACATGCGTCATTACGAAATCGTCGTAACCATGCAACACAATCAAAAACAATCCAAAAACGCCAGTGGTATATTTGTATGCCAAAAGCTCAACACAAAAAGAATATGTACAAAACGGGGTATACATAGGGAATTTAAAAGTTCTGCGAAGGAAGTGGGGACGGGTCTACCGCAGGCTTGGGGTATCCGTTTGCTGTGTGCGACACGTAACCGTTGGTGTTACCATTGGTGTAGCCGTTGCCATTCGTGTATCCGTTGGTGTAGCCGTTGGTCTGGGGTACGGCCATCTGCGAGTTGCCACGGTAGTATTGCTGGTTGTCCGCAGCGCCATCACCCATGTGGCTCCGTTCTGTCTCGCTGCTTTCCTCAAACACTTGCATCTCGGTCTGCTTGGACTGGTGGTGCTTGGAGCGTGTGGCAGGTAAGAAATCGATGAAGAAACTGAACACGTAGAAGCAGTAGATGAAGGATACACACCATTCGAGAACGGCGGCGACGTTGTAGACGTGCTGCTTGGAGCAAACAGCAAAGGCGACAGCGAGGCAGACCTCGGTGATGATGAAGAAGAGCTTGATCCAGAAGGAAATCCGGAGGATGGAGTGCTCGCGGTAGTGAATGCCTAAGCGCTGGTACTCCCAACAAATGAAGATTGCCGAGATGATGTAACCAATGATGAACACACCGAGGAAGATGTTATGCAGCCTGTTATGGTTCTTGCAATCGAAGATGGTGAGCAGTATCAGACCGGCTGCACCAACAATGGCGGCAACGGTTGCGCACATGGAGTAAATCTTCTGCCAATGGGATGTGTTTGGTGCAAGTTTGTTCGTGTGTCGCAACCAGCGCTCGAAAATGAAGGCGAGATCGAAAGTGACGACGGTCACGGCGGACATGGCGATAAACATAGCTTTCAGGTAATCCGCACCGATATCTTGAGGCTGTTAGTATATGCGTATACTTGGGTGTCCATACTGCGTAACTTACCAGAGATGTAAGGAATGTGTTGCCCTTCGCTCATTGTAACATAACGAGGTTTACCGGTAGCAGCCCAATAGACCAACATGGTGATAAGCATGGCGGTCCATACTACTGCGGAGAAGATGGGAACGACCCAATACGAAAGTCCCAACATGGTGAGTGAGTTTCCTCAGGCGTTGCTCCAAGGTATGTGGGTGGTGTAACAACGAGTCTTCTATTGTGACTGCTAAGGGTGTCCAATGCGCCTGCGACAGGAGGCTGCGGGATCGGGTAACACGACACGCGACCAGATGGTGAAGTGAGAAGAATGGAGCAGGAAAGAGATGAAAGCGCGATCAGCAACAAGGAGCAGGGCTAAGATAATGAGGAGGGACCACGGCAGAGATGAATAGTAGGCAGTCCGCGGCGCGATGAAAGTCTCATACAAACTATGTTGTTGCTAGACGCGACTATGATGTCACGCCTCCAAGACTAAGCCGGCTTGCGTAAGATCCCGCCAGGTCCGATTCGTTCGCCCTATTCAACGTCACCAGGCAAGGCGCAGACTCTTCGATTACGTGGAATTGAAGATCGTGGGCGCTTCCGAACACTTTCGGACGAAAATTGACATCAAGGCAATGATGATGTTGGGATGATAAGCCTTTGCGGGTGTGGCTTCTGCAAAGTGTCGCGATGCGGACTAACGCCATGTTTTGTGCGGCTGGCGCACGTCACTCCTCCAGGGCCACCGTCGTATCGCTGATGGTAGATTCGAGGCAAAGCTTCGCAAAACTCGATTGCGCTCAAACACAACGCAGAGTTTCAGCGTCGGCGCTACAATGGAACCTCTGTGGACCAGGTTGTTGTCGCAATGAGACACCTGACATGGACTGGTCCATGTGATTTGCGATGTTCGGCAGTTTGCGCGGCCTGATTGCGGCTGTCACTCCATGGCCAGGTGGAGCGTTGCTAGCGATGTGCAACATCCAGGCCTTCAGTGCTTCGGCCTTGAAAAGCTCTATAAGACCATGCCGAACCCCAATGTGGCCTGTTGCTGGTGCAAGTGTATATCAGCGTCCAATATGGTTTCGAGGCCAGTCGATGAACCCGGCCTTTTATCCAGAACCTGGGGTAGGTGCGCTTCGCAACCGTATCGTGTCTGTTGCGCTGCGGACGTCCAACCCAATCGGCCATCATCGATCCAACAAAGACATGCTGCCAGTTATTCCTTAGCCGGTACAGGAGTAGCGGTGACTACATGTCCTGCGAGTACGTGGCGACGGTGATAACGTGCGTGGCCAGGATCCTGGGAAAATCACGACGCGACGCTGAAATGAAGGTGCGACTATTGATCGGAGATTACCTAGGTACCTACGGTTTGCTCAATCTGAGATCAACAGGTTCGGTTATCCGCTATGAGAGAGAGTCGCAACAAAAGAAAAAGCGAGAGTACCGGGTGAACTGGTCATGCACGGGCCAGGAAGCAACAGCAACGTAGCGACGACAGCATGGCCAGCCACCGTCGTCGAGGCGCACAGCCACGCTATATATTGCGAGACGCGTATATCGGCACGGCCACAGCAGGCCAGTTCGGTTAGGTCTTCCTGGTGTGGATCTCTCGTAGTTATGGCACGACTTGTGGATGCTGGATTTTTCACTTTGCCATGGCATGAGGCTTGTAGAGGTCCGATCAGCCGTTAGGTTTACCGATACGGTAAAAAGCAGCTGGGATCCAGCCTTCGCGCTGCGCATGGAGCACCATGCCCCGCCTTGATTGGCTTCGGTGCTCGTGCGTTGAGCAACCTTGATTGGCAGATTACTTCACTCGTCGATGCAGCCTGCATTGTCCGGTTTCATGTCGAGCTTCTTCCAAGTTTGTTGCTACTTGGACCAGCTCAATTCTCGCCTGCGACGTGCAGCACTCGTAATTCCATGCCTAGCATCCTTGATACCTGCAGCCAACTGCACTAGACGCCTGTTCGCGCGGGGACATATTACTTATCCCTCGATATCCCTCCATCTGGTCCGCCAGTGTTAGTGTACCACCAGACTTCACTCTCATATCCTCACACCAGCCTCCGTATTGAATAACGTTGCAGCTTCCTATAGCTTTATAAGGTACGCCGTGGACCCGGCATTTTGTCGAGCATGCACGAACTGCGATTGACTCGCTCTTTAGCTATCGCAACTCCGATGCATCCTTCGCAATAATCTTGAGGGCCGTCGCTCTTTAACCCCACTATCACCTGCCAATATGGGGAATCAATCCAGTACCACGAATCACAACAAGCTGTCCAAACCCAAGACCAACACCAATTCCGCAAGTGGGGCTGTGAAGGTCGATTCACCGCAGCCCACAACTTCGAGATCCGCAGACCTGAGCCCTGAAGGACGCCAGCATATCAAAGACGCCCTCCTCTCACCTATCGCTACCGAATTCGATCCTAATACGTGGAAGCATAAGGATGATGGCTTAGGGGAGGTTGCGAAGACGCGTGGTCGCGCATCAACAGTCGCGTCAAGATCGAATTCGCGAACCAACTCCAGGACCAACTCCCGAACAAACTCCTTGTCGTGTTTTGGAAGTAAGCAAGGCTCAGCAGCCCAGCTTGCTGGCCTGGCGGATTCCAAGCTGTCTTTGGCTTCTGTCTCACATGTTGATATTGCTGAGGCAATTCGGCTTCTACAACAAGTCAAGAAGAATGGCACACCAGAAGAGCTTGCGGCGTTGCAAGAAGTCTTGGAAGCACCTGAGGAGCCTGCACAGCCAGTGGCCGAGGCACCCGTTAGTAGAAGAACTTCGTTAGTCGACAGGTCTTCTTCCTCGCTCACACGCCGACAATCGCTAATTCAGACGCCTGGAGTAGGCACCCGACACTCGCCAGTCGAAGGACGTCGCAGGACATGGAATTCGTGGAAAGCCCCCAAGCTTGACCCTGAAGAAGAGGCAAAATGGCAATCCAAGCCAAAGGGAAACTCCCACTTGGCCCCTCAGACAGCTCTGCGTTTGTCTGACGAAGCTCATGACTCCACTACGGCTCGAGCCATCACCCCTTCAGAGCTCGACTATGCGCATCTAGGGAGTTTAAAGCTAGGAACTCTCGTAGTCACAAATGGAGCAGCGTCGCCCGCTCCCAGCACAAAGACCCTAGAGGTGCAAAGGGCTGTAGATGACGACTACTTCTCAGCAACAGAGGCCAACTCCAGTCCACTGATGATGAAGTCGACACGTCGGCGGGCTCACACCAGGAGCAAGTCAGCTGTGGCCCCAACGCCTTCTCCACTCTATGAATTAGAAGCGAACCAAATGCCTATACCTTACGATCCAAGAACTACGGCAAGTGTCATTACGAATGAGTCTGTCTCTTCTTCAAGGGCGCCAAAACCGATTACCGAAGAAGAGTCTCCAAAGTTCTTCCAAACATCGCACGAGCGCAAGCACAGCGCATCTCAAATTGCCGAGAGCTATCAAGCCGGCATACCATTCAGCCCGTTCTTCGCATCCGAGGAGACTGCCATGTTTTACCGGCCCGAAAACTGCGTTTCGTCTACGGCGGGAACACCTCGCAGCGTCCGGGAGTCTTTCCTTGAAGAACCCAAGTCTCAGCCTGAAATCAAAGTTTCGATGCCTTCCACACCATCAGATGTGCTTGTTTCGCAGAAGCCACAGAGCAAGGCTATTCAACGACCAACACCACGAACGACTGATTCTGGTTACTCATCTGGAGCCAGTCTCCGGATAGCCGATCGAGAACAGTCGGAAAACTCTACCTCAATACTCTGTCACCGATGTAGCGATTCTCCACAAATGGTTGATGTGAGCCAGGAACAAGGCACTCGACCTTCAATCCTTGCAAAGAAGGGTCATCAGGATGCCGACTTAGCGCCTCCAAAGGGCGATGTGGAACATCATGCACAAATGGCCCGACACCTACCAGCGCTGAACAGCCCGGTTCCGTCTACGAGCTCTTCTACAAGATCCTCGGCGTCGGAGTCTCTGCACTCACCCAACACGCCTAGATCTATCGGTTCAAAAGCATCATTCGACAGTGCATCTTCGAAATCCCAGAAGCGTTTCCACAAGAGACGGCAGTCGCAGCCGGAGCATGTAATCGTTCAGTCATGCCAGCCGATTCCAGAAGGAACAATTCCTGAGGTCCCAACCAAGGTGCGTGCCAAGTTCGAACGACGCGTATCAAATACTCCGGGAATCGAATGCCTGACGCACACCTATCCAACAAAAGAACACGTTGTTACAGAAGAGCCTGCCAACCAGGCCCTTGCTGCCGACCAAATCGAGTTCAAGCAATTGGCTGAGTTGGAGCCTGAGCGACCACCTACGCCCCCCGTTCATGGTCGTCGAAAGAGTCTATCGTTCTTTCGGAGGAAGTCTTCATCCGGGAAGAGTCAGGTTGAGAAAGAACCCGAGCATGCCGCACTTGATGTGGTTCATCTGGGCACTATCACTTCGTCCCTAGGCAACTCTCCGTATGATATTGCTATGCCCGACACTCAAAGACAGAGCATTACCTCTCCCACCCACCCGCACCAACTGGGCAGTTCCTTGCCTCGCGCGAAGTCCATGGTGAGCATGGACAGCAAGGCTGCTGCGGAATTTGCGCGTCTACATAGCAAGGATCTACCAGTTGCTGGACGGGGATCGCCTCCTCAGCAGCGACGGAAAAGCTGCCATAACCTGAAGAAGGAAGCCGGCGAGGCCACTGCTTCGAAACTTCGCCGGCAGAGTATCGACGTGCCACCTGTGCCCTCCATCGATATGTCCAAACTCACAGTTCCGAAACCTGCTAAGCCTCAAGGACCCAGGGCCGCTCCCAGCTCTAGTCCTCGCAGTCAAAGAGCGTCTCAGCCGATGGGCAAATATGACTCACCCCCGCAGAAGCCTTCTCAGCAACCTGTGAGCTGGGAGGTGCACTCCCAGATTTGGAAGCAGCGCCGTAGGACTTTGGGGGACCGGCTGTATTCAGATGTCGACTTGGATATAGAATCAGAATCGGAGCTCACAGTGGTCAATACAACTCCAGTGGAGACCACTCCTCAGACGACACCTCCAAAAGAAGTCAAGGTTTCCAACAATATGTCTAGATGGGATCGCTTCAGTGGGGGTTTGGAGTACAACTACGAACACGGGGCAGGCATTGGAGGCAGCGCAGGTACGCGATCCCTCCACAGCCACGCATCGGTGAAGTCGTTGCAGTTCCAGCACCAGTACGGCGTGGACCTCTCCGATGTACCAATCATGGTTCGGTACCAAACATGATTCAGCGCATCTAGAAGCGGCTGTTTACTGCTACATTCCCTTTGTTACGATCTACCCAAGCAGCAACTGCATGTCATGATTGTCTTGCATTTCATATATATTCACGCGTACAGAGCGGCATTTTGGGCATGGGGTGATAAGGCGTTCTTGTTTTGAGTACATACTGCATGGGCCCGCATTATAGTCACGTCCCCACAAATTCAGCAATAAGATAACATGAACACACAGCATCCAACGATAGCTGCTCGTATAATTACCATGCACCATGCGCCATTTACTATTCGCTCGTCGATTAACTTTGGGGCGTTGAGCGAGAAAGTTGGCCCAAGACGCTGACGAGTCGCATTGGGCATACCTCACATGCGCGGTTTTTATGCTCAGCCTCGTCTGCGTGCCATCGAGCCGATCAGGCACCACTGGCTTACATGCACGAGCCTCGGTGATGTCAGAATGAAATGCTAGTGGCTGCAGGTCCTGGACGGCGCAGGGATGTTAAGTAATGTTCGGTCCAAGACTCCAGGACCACAACCGAATGCGCGAAAATTGTCACTCCAGCTCCCCGCCATCACCTCCCTTTCTCCTACACTTCACCCATTCCCCATATTCACCGCTCGCCAGACGTCGCCCCTTATAAAGCGACTGTCTGCCCTTTCGTTACTGCTCAGCTCCCTCCTCCGACAGCCTTTGGTCGCGTCAAAGGCTCAAATCTCACCACGGCTTCGGCCCTGATCCTGCTCAACCTTCAAGTTGTCTCTGCTCGACCAGCGCCACACGTTTTCAACAACATCCCCCCTCCGCGTCTTGTCGCCATCTAAGAAAGAACTTGAGCGCCTTTTCTTTCTGTCTCCTACCCAGACACTCGAGCAGCCCGAACTTCAGCTGCCGCATAGGACGCCATCAGCGGTTCTTCCTCTCGCAGAGGAAGCGGCCAGACCTCGCCCAACACCAAGCCTCGGCTTCGCACCCTTCAAGCCACCTTAACACGGCCTAACGACCCGGCAAAATAACCTACTCAACCAATCTACTGTCAGCACCCACCATCAAGGGCATGGCACCTTCTGCTATCACGACTACCGAAGAATACCAATTCCCGTTGAAAGACATACCGTCGTTCAACAACTATTCAGCTGGTAGTGTTGACAATCATGGCGCCTGGCAATCCAAGCAGTTGATTGCCGACGCTCTCAAGAGCCGTGTCGAGACTATTGATCCTGATACCTGCAGCGTTGGCGAGGAAGATGCTTTCTTCGTCGCCGACCTGGGCGAGGTCTACCGCCAGCATTTGCGCTGGAAGAAGAACCTAAGCCGCGTCAAGCCGCACTATGGTAAGTCCACTGCATATTGTTCATGTCGAAACGCCACTAACATCTCGCAGCCGTCAAGTGCAACCCTGACCCCCAAGTGCTGCGTCTTATGACTGCACTAGGTCTCGGTTTTGACTGTGCTTCCAAGAACGAGATTGAGACTGTGCTCAAGCTGGGCGTCGATCCTTCTCGCATCATCTACGCGCAGCCCTGCAAGACCAAGTCTTACGTGCGCTACGCCGCTCAGTCTGGCGTCAAGCAGATGACGTTCGACAATGCCGATGAGCTCTACAAGACCAAGCAGCTCTTCCCTAACGCCGAGTTGTACCTGCGCATCTTGACCGATGACTCGGCCAGCTTGTGCCGCCTCAGCCAGAAGTTCGGCGCTGCCTTGGACACGACTGCAGAGCTCTTGGAGCTGGCGAAGAAGCTGGAGCTCAACGTTGTTGGAGTCGCGTTCCACGTCGGCTCTGGCGCGTCCGACCCCAAGGCTTTTATCAAGGCTGTCCAAGACGCCCGTTTCGTCTTCGACCAGGCGTCTGCACTCGGCTTCAACATGCATACCCTAGACGTGGGCGGCGGTTTCACCGGCGATGTCACTTTCGAGCCCATGGCCGCCGTCTTGTCTACTGCCTTGGACGAGTACTTCCCGCCCCACATCCGCGTTATTGGGGAACCCGGACGCTACTATGTCTCCACAGCGTTCACCATCGCGTGTCACGTCATTGCTCGTCGCACCGTTACCGATGCTACCCTAGGCACCACCTCTTACATGCTGTACCTTAACGACGGTGTCTACGGCAACTTCTCGAGCATCATCTTCGATCACCAGCACCCTGTGCCGCGTGTGTTGAAGAATGGCAACGACGTCCTATACGATGTGCGTCGTTCTGGATATGACACGCCGTCTCAGGTCGAGTACTCCATCTGGGGTCCTACGTGCGACGGCATTGATGTCATCTCATCCTCGTGCACCTTCCCCGAGTTACTCGATGTCGGTGACTGGCTTTACTTTGAGGAGATGGGTGCGTACACCAAGTGCTCTGCTACTCGCTTTAACGGCTTCAGCGACAGCCACGAGGTTGTGTATGTGTGCAGCGAGCCTGGTGCTGCCGCCCTCATGGGCATGTAAATATTCTGGTGGAATATTGTTGGCGCGAAAGTATTTAGCAGGCGTGTAATAGCGAGTATACAGAGAGGGGAGGTAAACCAGTGATCAAAAGTTTGATAGATTCTATAGATGTCCCGTATTTTCATAATCCTGAAGCGTGCATATTGCTAAACCTCATGCTGTTGTCTACCATCGAAGTCGTCATTTCCGTTGTGGGTACTGTTGATCATGTTTCTTACATGCACTACTACTAACCCCTATTCACTTTTCATATCCTCACCTCATGACCTTTCTGGATCTATCTCTTGCAACAACGACGACGCACATTTGTCCGATGCCAAAGCGTCATTAACAATGTTCTCCTCCACACCGGGTCGGCACAGATGACTGGGATACTTGGAGGGATGAAACTGCCGAGTACTGAAAACTCGTGCCTCGCGGATGCTCACAAAGTTGTCAGCCCGCTGTACTGCGCGGCCCGCCCTGCGTCGATGATCGTGGTGCTCACCAGCCACAGGCAGCTCGAGGGGATACAGGGTTTGATTCGCCGGAACAAGTTTGTAGCGTGTGCCACATGAGGTACTGGATGCTGCTCGTATGCGCCGCCAAGTGTGATCAGGAGTGGTCTTGAATTCGGCCGCAGCGCGTAAAGTCGACATGGCCAATCATATGGCAGAGCGCCTTGGAGGCCCAGGGTGGTCGCTATGGAGAGACCCGCCGCAGCCCAACTCTTGGAGGGCCATGGGAGATGGGCTACGTAAGTCAGCAGTATCGCGTAGAAACAAGCAGGCCACAGGCGCATTTGCCGTGGTCCGTCTTTCCTCGCATATAAACCTGAGGGGTCCGGATCGTCGAGTTGATGCACCTCCTCGCCCGGCAGCGTCATCTGTATTGAGCCACGAGCCACGAGCCACTACCCCACCCATAGCAGCAGCCATCCACACCCACGCCCTGCGCACGTCGAGCTATCCGCACCCGTAGCCAAAAATAAGTTTGCGCCTGTCATCGCCCGGCGATCAGGTACTGTCGCTGCAAACTCACAAAATCGCACGTTCCACCATCATGGACGGGAGGAAGCAGGGCCGCCCGGACGAGGAGCTCTTCCTGCGATACGACAACAACCCTGACACGCCCACTATTCCCACAGTCGGTCCCCTGAGGATACAAAAGGGTCGCGATGGGAAGAGCCCGCCTCCGCGAACAGACTCGGCCGGCAGCTCGAGCCAGCCCGCCTTCTCGCGCCCTCCACCGATGCCCTCGTTTCCCGCGCCGCCTACCAGTCCGCCGAACGCGCCTCTTCCCTACCCCGACACGGACCGGCCGCCAAATGTGCAACCCACCCTAGGCACAGGCAGATATACTCCACTCGGCGAGAGGGAACGGCGGGCAAAGAATGCCACCCCCTGAGAGCGCAGACGGAAGGAGGCGGGGTTCAGTGCGACAGGACCGAGTCCCACCTCGCCCAGCCAGCGCGCTCGCTTCGACGCCAACGACCCAAACCGACCGACGATAAGTGGCTATGGCGCAAGGAATCCAGATGGTTCAATCCAGCCTTCAAGGCTGGCGGAGCGAAGGGGAACAGCTCCAAAGCCACTCCCAGACTCGCCCGGCCCAGACACTCCTGATAAAGAGGGCCTGTTCCAGAAGGCGCCGCAGAGGAAGGATAGTGAAGATGTGGGCGTGAACAACCCATACCCCGACTATCACCAGCAGTACTTCCCTCCGCCCGCTGCAGGTCCCAGCGCGGCCCCAGCTGCTCCCGTCGTCCCAGTCGTATATACAGGTCCCAACCAGAATGAGCCGGTACTCAAGGTGCCTACGCCCATGGACGTCAATCGCATGAGCTCCACCGCTTCAACGTCAACAGTGAGAGCACAAAGAGGCTCCCCGCCGCCTCCTGAGACGCCCATCATTCCTCCTTCTGGTGGTGGCATAGAAGCGCGCTTTGCCGCAGCTGGCATTGCAGGAACCTCTACACTCACCAATCTACAAGCGCAAAGTGCTCAAAATGCGGCAGCTGCTCAGCGCAACCAGATCTATGCCAACCAGCCGCCTAGACCGGGTCTCTCAACACCACAACCGAGCCAGCAACAACCAGCCAGGAGACCATGGACACCAACCGAGCAACCCGGAGGCAATCCACATGGCCCACCAGCGGTATACCAAGGTATGGATCAAGTGCCTCCTTCGAGTACCCCTCCACAAGGTCCTCTTCCACAGGCACCAAACACTCGGTTTTCGCCTCCGCCTACAAATGTTCCGCATACGAACGTACCTCCGGAGCACCCTCTCAACCATGAGATGGGACGGATGAACCTGAACGAGGAGCCACCACCAGCATACTCGAGTATAACAACTCCACCAACAGGACAGGCCGGTAGCTATCCCAACGAAAAGGGACAGCAGCCGGCTGCTCAAGGCGTCAGTTTCTCTGACCCGAATCAGGGTCATCCTGCATTTGCGAATGATGTGCGCCCGCAAGCTGGTCCCTCGCAGCCTGCTACGGTGGTCGCACCAACGCCTACGCAAAACCAGTTTCCTCCTCAAATTCAAACCGCCCAACCTGCTCACACACCAAGTCCGGC